TTTTTACCCCTCCTTCTCTCCTTCAGTCCTCCCCAGCTAGCTAGCTAACACTCAAAACCCCCAAAAACACAGGCCGAAGAACAAGGCTTCTCGGAATTCCACCTCTACGTCTGCGCTGCCTTCCTCGTCAAATGGTCCGACAAGCTCGTCAAGATGGACTTCCAAGAGATCATGATGTTTCTGCAATCCTTGCCGACGCGCGAGTGGACAGAGAAGGACATTGAGCTCTTGCTCAGCGAGGCCTACATCTGGCAGAGCCTGTTCAAGGGGTCCTCGGCGCATCTGAAAGGGCAGCCGAGCAGTAGGGCGCACTCGTTGAACTTTCAGCTTTGAGCCCGAGCCGAGCCCCTTGAGTTTGAGTTTGAGCTATCAGTGCAGGGGAAAGATACGAAAGAAAGAAAGAAAGAAAGAAAGAAAGGTGTTCGATTCGAAGTAAGTGGGTGGGTGGGTGGAATCGGCGCGACACAAGGCAAAGAAAGACAACAAACAGCTGTCCTGGGGACACGCTCTATCAACTTAAGTCTCGGCTAATTGAGCCGGTTCCTTATGTTGTGGCACCCACTCATATAAACAGTTGACGAAGAAAAAATTACAATAATTCATCGAAGAAGAGGAGGATGCAAGAAGCATATATGGCTGGATGGGCTGGGATGAGATGGGATGGACGAATCAAAGGTCAAAGAGGAAGCAAAACAGAGATACCAATTGGCTAGTAAAGAGAGAGAGAGAGAGAGAGAAAGAGAGAGACGGGGAGAGAAACGTAAAGCAGGTACGAAAACAAGAGTACATAAGCTTCTAGAGTAAAGATCACTTGTAGTAATATACATAATACCACGTTATTGGAAAGAAGAAAATTTGGCAGCGGATGATACAGGGTTTTCAATATTTACAATGGTTGGGCAACTCAATCAACAACCGTCATACACAATATTTACCCATCTTCATGTCACGGAGAAAATTGATAAAACGAGCGGGAAACGAAGTTCAAATACACTATCTGAATAGGTTCCCATGATACGCTTCCAGATCTCCAGCGTAAGTACATGTGAATAGCTATGACCGTTCACACCTACTCCTCTTTCGTACCCTTCTATCTGATGAGTTCCAACGCTGTTTCTTTCTTTTCTTTCTTTTTTCTCTTGCCTTTCTTTTTTGATTTTCTTGTTTTTCCTTTCTTGTCCATGTTGAGACTCCTCCCATTTCTCTTTTCTGTTTGAAAACTATCTCTACCCCATCTCTGGTCATAAATAATGAGTGACTTTAGTTAGGAAATCCAGAGGGACGAATATCAACTAACTATCAAACGCAGTGCTCACTGGATTGGCCAGGCTTATCAACCGACAACTTCTCTTTTAAGGAGGGTATGGGAGTGAGTGAGCCTGGACGAGAGAGTCCCTGTGAAGCACGCTTGAAAACGAAGTGAAAAAATACTAACTCGGGCTGGTGGTACGTGAAAGCTTAAGACTGGAGTGAGCGTATCGGTGTAAACCAACCACTCTCTGCGTTGATTGACTTGCAGGCTTTGCCGTTTCATTCGGTCATCATTCCACGACCACCTGCCCGGAAGCAACAGATCGAGTGGTAACTTCTTCCTGGGTAGGTCGCATTTGACCAGGCGCCTCCGCAACCATGCAAATTCGACCGCCAGCTAACCCAACGTTTTGCCCCCGATACCAAGTGTGGGTCGACCTCCCCCGGCTCCGTACATCCGAGGATGACAAAACCCTCCTTAGATACCCGTCCGTCGCCCGAGTCCGTTTGACGTCTGATTTAGTGTGCGACCTTAGACGAAGGTGTGTGAAGATGCCTTGTTCCCGTCTGCTTGGGGTTCAGCTTGCACGAGACTATTGCGCAGAAGGTATGTAGGCTGATCACCCACACTTTGGAGAAGCCTATGTGAAGGATTGGCTTTCAGAGAGCAGCAACAACTCCTTGCAGCTTCAGTTGAGCAAATCCAAGCTGGAGAAGGGTAAGTTGTCTTCTGCCCGCCAGCCCGAAGGCTATCGGTAGCGTGTCAACAGAACAAATCTGTCATGCTCACCAAGTGACACATAATAGGTCCATATGCTATACCACCGTTTAGGTTCAAGAGAACTATAAGCATTGTGTCGTGCGCTTCCACGAGAGGAAGAGGGAGACCAACAACGCCTAGGAGCTAATCGCTCAATCGAAACCTGTCCCGATCTGGCTTGCAAAAGCAGTGCTGACGCTCTTCTCGTCGTCATCGTAACGGCGATATCCGTTGCCGACTCCCATACGACCATTGCTCTCGACATACTGCTTAAGGCGATCGCTCTGGCTGTAAGAAGTAGGGCGGGCTGATCCGATGGCCTCGCTAAGGCCAGCACCAAGACTCGCGCCGCCCTGTCCGATACCCTTGCCGCCAATGACACTGGAAGTGGCATCAGTGAACTCGCTGTTGGCGACGCTTTCGCCTGCGATACTCTCTGTCGCACGACCACGGCCCTTGGCGCCCGGCCGTCCGTTGGGACCAGCACACGGCAGACCAGCCCACGCCTCAGGGTGGAAGTTCGAGAACATGGCAGGGTAACCAGAGCTCAAAGCAGCACCTCCCAGGGCGGAGCTGTGGATGGAAGAGACATCATCCGGGATGTACGAGACCATAGAACCAGTCTCATAATCCCTGACGGAGCCGGCAGTCAAGGGAGCAGCGAACCGGCCATTAGAGGGACCGCTGGCAACATGTTGAGTATGGCTGCGCTGCGGCCGGTAGGCCTGGCGAGGCCTGCCAAACTGCAAGAGAGAAGGCTGGAGGTTTGTGAGGGGACCTTCGACGAGACACTTCTTGTCTTTGAAGTGGACGAGAAGGTGGTGCCAGAGCTCATGCTTGCAGAGAACCTTGGGATTGCCAATAATCACCAGACCGTACTTGGCACGAGTGAGGGCGACATTGAGACGACGGGGATCCGAAAGGAAACCAATGCCTTGGTTCTCGTTGGAGCGAACGCAGGACAGCACAATGAAATCCTTCTCTCGACCCTGGAAGGCATCCACGGAAGCGACTTCAACTTCCCTGTAGGATTCCTTCTTGAACGTGCCAGTGTTCTGCATGGTATTGACAATGTAGCTGCGCTGGCCCTCGTACGGCGTAATGACACCGATATCAGCAGGCTTAACGCCAGCCTTGAAGAAGCGCGTGACAATCTTCTCGACGTTGGCAGCCTCCGTCCGGTTGAGGTACGACGTGCCCGAGGCCGAAATTTCCTCGTTGCCCAAGTTGGACCAGAACATCATTGGAGTCTCAGGGACCGGCCAGGGGAAGTCAACATCCTTGCGGAGTCTCTCGGCGGCAGTGACGCCGTTTTGCAACGATCCTTCGTAGAACATATTGGAGGGGAACTCAGAGAGGCAAGGATGCATACGATACTGGACCTTCAAGCGAATGGGGGTAAACTGAAGCTTGACCAACCTCTCGAAGAGCGACTGGTTAAGGCCAGCCTTGGCGGCCTTCTTGTTCATGATGACAGGGCCAAGCTGCTTGTGGTCACCAACCAAGACAACCTGCTTACATCCAAGGACCAGTGGAATCATGCACTCGGGTTCGGCAGACTGTGTAGACTCGTCGATGAGCACGTTACGGAACTTCATCTTGGAAAGTCGCGGATCTCCGGCACCAACACAGGTGCAGCACACTACATCAGCGTTCTGCAGGATCTCACGCTCGGCCTGGCGCGTCAGCTGCTTGAACCTCTTTTCATCCTGAGAAGACAGCTCGCCGGTCTCGGTCTTGAGCTTGACGAGACCATCAAGTTCCTTGTTGGTAGTATTCATGCGAACTTGCTCGTGGAGAGCCAGGAAACTGACGGAGGACTCGACATCCTCACGGGACTTGGCGGTCAAGCGAACGACCTTCAGGCCGGTTCTGTGGATCCTCTCACAGAGCTGGTCCACAGCAACGTTGGATGGGGCGCAAACGAGAACTTGGCTGTTGCTCATCTTGGCAAGATGGTAGATGATGGTGGCCGAAGTGACGGTTTTGCCAGTTCCCGGAGGGCCCTGGATAAGGCTCAGAGGGTTGGACAAGACCTGCTTGATGGCGGCAATTTGGCTGGCATTGAGTTCAGGGAGACCAGGAACGTGGAACTTTTTGGGCATCGTAATCTTTGTCGGGGCAACCTGAACTTCGTGTCCAAGCAGCTTGTGGAAGATGTAACCAGAAACACTCATCTCGTCGACGGCAAAGGTCTTCATGGCCAGCTGCATGCGGTCATAGGAAGTCGCTTTCCACACATAGTCGGCCGAGAAATTGTGTGTGCATTCCGTGGGGACAGACTTGTCATTGGCTGACTTGCGAAGTTCCACCTCAACCTCGTCGGACTGGTTGTTGGGAATCTTGATAACATATCCAACACCCTCCCAAGGCGGGCGCAGCTCTCCCTTGTACTTGAGACGCATCTCATCGCCAACGGCCAGCTTAACGTCACCGGACTCGATCTTGGGAAGGATGAAGCTGGCGACATGTTTGCTGTTGAGACCCAGATGCCAGCGGACTTGAAGGCCATCCTCAGACTGGGCCTCCTTCAGCTTCTTGTCGTAGTCGGATTCCATCTTGACGAGAGGGCCGAAAATGTTCTGATAATGATAGGGGTCGTCGTACTTGAGCAAGACCGGGTGAGGATCATCATCGACTCCGGCACTCTTTTCGAGATCGGCAACAGTCGCGTTCGGTGCCTCCTTCCACATTTCCTCGAGCTTGGCAATCATGGGCGGCGTGAGATGGCGAGCACGAAGCTGCTCAGCATCCGTGGGAGGGGTGACGAGCCAGTTGAGGAAAGCCCTGTCTTCGATCAAGGGTTGCCACCTGGATATATCCCAGCTCATATCCTTGGTTGACGTACTAGCACCACACGGCTGGCGGCAGAGGAGGACCACGACCGTGTCTGACTTGGCAGGGATGAAACCGAGGATGAAGACATTCTTGGTGCCGCAGTTGTAACATTCGAGGACGGTATCGCCGAGGGAGGACTCGGGGTGAAGTTGAACTTCCTTGTGGCGGGCGCGAACAAGGTGGTTGACGATATGGGACGAGAAGGCGCTTCCTTTGGCGCTGCAGAACCACTTGTTGCAGGTAAGACACTTGACGACGCTGGAGGGCGAGTGGATGCCACAGTAGGCACAGGCGTGGGGAGGCAGTTCCTTCTCCTCCACGGGGGCATCCAGCTTGAGGCTCTTCATGCCGTCGACTGGAACGCTGGCCAAACTCTCGTCATCATCGTCATCAAGGACCTCGGTCTCGTTGTCGTCGTCATCGTGGCGGCGTCTACCATTGCCGCGGGGACCACGTCCACCGTAGACACCGTAGAGGAGGTTTTCATCGGGATCGATATTGGACAGTTCGTCGGAGCCACCGGCCTTGATGGCGGCAGCAGAGTCGGAAACCAAGTGGTTTCCAAGGTGTGTGAAGGACACCTCCATGTTGGCCATGATGGCGAGTGGGTTGACGGAGGTAAACTCTGGAGCACCAGCAACTAGTCAGTAAAATGTCTGGAAGGAAAAGCCGAACAGTAACGTAGGTTCAGGCAGGTATCGTTGGGGAACGAGATAAGTAAGGTACTGTTGGTATACGCCGCGGTCCAGTCTGTAGCTGTTGAGCGGGCTGTTGGGGAGGGATGTGTATTTCAGTGTTTACATGAACATGGCACGCAAACAAGCGGCGTACCTTGGAGAGTTCACACCCGGAAGTTTTGTCGAAAGGTAAAAGGTGTGGCTGTCGTATTGCGGGTTGTCGCAATGCGGGACTCTGGAAAGATGTAGATTATGGGCTTGGAAGTCGTCTAAAAGGTCACATCATCGCATAACGGATTGGATCGGCGAGCGGGCTGTGTTGCGCGCGGGGGCTTTCGAAACGACGACACTGCCAGAACGTCGAGGTGCTGATGCAGTGTGAGACTACTGATCGGCTCGCTTAAGATTGTTCTTGGTGTTGTGAAGCAAATGGTTTGGTTGCCGCCGTTCAAGGTCACGGTTGTTGTTTGCTTGGGGAATTTTGCCGGTGGCCGACTTCAGTTTGTGTTGGCGGACGGGTCACGGTTGCGGTTGGAGGTTCGTTGTTTGATATCCGACGGCCTTCTATCAGCAGCAGCCTCCAGTTCTGGGCTCAGCTGTTTGAGAGGCACAGTCATAGCGCCTGAAACTGCCCTGTATTCTAGAAAGCGGGCAGCAAGCTGAGTACAGTACTGGGAAACCGGCAGAAGCCAGGGTAAGGTGGCGTTGTAAGTACCTAGAGGTAGGTACTTCTACCTAGCCAGGCGCGATCTCATTCCCGGCAGGCGCAAATCGACGGGAAGCCGATAAGTATCCGCCAAGTTGAAAGGGTCCGTGCACCTCGCGCTTAGTCCCATTTGATTGTAACTTTTTTGACTTTTTTCTCTGTGAACACCCCTGTCGTCACCAACCACTCCGCCCTCCACTATCGACCCGGACATCTGAATTTCTGCCAGTCTTCGCAGCCTTAATTCTTATCGACAACCTCACTACCACTTCGACAACACGACTCTTCGAGCTCGGCGCAATCGCTTCCACCGAATCACTTATTACCGTCTGATAAGAGTTTCAACACAGCAAGATGATTGTAAGTGTCCCAGTCTACTCGTCATCATCTTCTCCAAGCTTCTCAATGTCCATGACTGACAACTGCAATAGAGAAAGCAAGCTCGCCAAAGGCGGGACTACCTTTACCGAAGAGCCCTCCTGCTCAAGGAGGCCGAGGTTGCAGAGAAGCGCGCCAAGCTAAGGTCTGCCCTGGCCTCGGGCAAGCCACTCGACCCCGAGATCGCGAAGGACAAGGAACTGCGAAAGGACTACGACTACGATGTTTCGAGGGATGTGAACGAAGACGCCATAGAAATCGACGACGAATACTCGGAGTTGTCGGGTGTCATTGACCCCAGAATCTTGGTCACGACAAGTCGCGATCCCTCCAGCAGACTCGGCCAGTTCAGCAAGGAAATCCGTCTCCTACTACCCACCAGTGTTCGACTGAACCGTGGTAACCTCGTTTTGGAAGACCTTGTTGGTGCCGCCAAGGCGCAAAACTTGACGGATGTTGTTTTGCTACACGAGCATCGTGGTGTCCCTACCGCCATGACCATCTCCCATTTCGTACGTTGTCCCATCAGGCATGTTGCTGTACTTGCGCAAGGCGTTTTCTAACCATTGCTACAGCCCCATGGCCCGACGCTCATGGTCTCCCTCCACAACGTCGTTCTCCGCGCCGATATTCCCAAGTCGATAAAGGGCACAGTCAGCGAAAGCTACCCCAGGCTAATCTTCGAGGGCTTCAGCACCAAGCTCGGTGAGCGGGTGGTCAAGATCCTTAAGCACCTCTTCCCTCCCCGCGAGCCGACACAGAAACCCAATGTTGGCAACAGAGTCATCACATTTGTCAACAACGACGATACGATTGAGGTTAGGCACCACGTCTATGTCCGTACCTCGTACGACTCGGTCGAGCTCAGTGAGGTTGGACCCCGGTTTACGATGAAGCCCTTCAAGATCACCATGGGCACCCTCGACAACAAGGATGCGGATACCGAATGGCACCTCAGCCAGTACACCAGGACCAGCAGGAAAAAGAACTACTTTTAAGCGGTGATTGGAACGAAAGGGCCGCTATAGTCGTGTGGTTATCGGTTGGATATTGATTGCGCCGGACAAGCCCGAAAAAAGGGTAGCCAGGAGAAACGCAAAGACACTATCTGGTGGCGGAAAGCCCTTCTCACCAATTTGTCTGCTGCTCAGTAACAGGAGGCAATGGGAAGACCGCTCAGATGCCTAGGCGAATTCACGCTTATATCCTCCTCTACCGCCCGAGGTAGAACGTGGCTGGCCAAGATAGCGAGTCTTGTGTTCCAGCTTCGGCGCTCTGGTGGAACCATAAATGATAGCATCAAGGTCTGACTGGTGATCGGCGTGGTTGCTGGGTCGGCTGCTTGCCGAGTGGCTGTGAGGACCGGAAGGTTCCCGCGGTGAAACGAGCATGTCATGTCTATCAACGACATGTCATCACTACTGGAGGTAACGCACGCAACGATCGGGCTGGAGGATGGGACAAGAATGGGAGCAGCAGTCTCATGAGATACCAATGTTGGGATTTGGATGTAATTTTAAGAGCATTGGGTTCACATATCAGGATACGGACCGGAGTTGAGGGTGTAAGGGTATCATTTCTCAGCTGAGCGCGGAATAAACAAAACATGTGATCGAACGGGTGTTCCAATTCGGTACTGAGTGCTGGCATGCAAAGAAAGAAAGGCGGTTTGAGCGGCTCAGCAGCAAGCCGGGGACACGGCTGAAGTCTGCAACTCAATGAGATCAGATCAGAAACATAAAGCAATTACTCGATGAACTCGAAATATGACCTGCCAAGCTTTCTACCAGTGGGAAGAAAAAGGACCCCTTTTCTCCTTGGGGCTCCATTCCAAACAAAAGGGGGCGCGTCGACGTGGAGACGGCAGTGTCCCGTGGGGCCGCCTGCACGCTCTGTTGGAGGTTCCACACGATTGGTTCCTCACTTCCAACTCTGGGGACAGCGCAAGTGCCAATTGCCGCTTCACAATTGACGATATCGTCACAGGGCGGCAACAGAAAGATTTCTAACTTTTCCATTCCTCTGCCATTGGAGAATTACGCGATCAAAGTTTGCCATCCTCCCGTCCACGTGGTGAATGCGACGATAAGTCGGGGGTTTTGACAGCGGAGATTTTATCACGTTTCACACTCCGAGTTCATGAGGCTGTTAAAGCTGTACTTTGCGGTGCCCTCTTCCTTGCCATCTTTTGACAAGAACAGTCTCTCAGCAGTCAGTCGTCAGCTCTTGAAGCTTGTGCCTTGATGCTGCATTTCGTGCAGGCTGCAGCTGACCTTGGGCACAGCAACAACTGGAGATGTGGGTCGGAAACCCGCTGTGACCGAGACTCTTTTCCCATTGTGGTTTTGAGTCGGAGTCTGGCTCAGCATTCATCATCAACAGAGAGACAGGGATATGGATCATCCATAGCCACGGTTCAAGACAGCTCCGTGGAATATGTGTGTAGAAGCTGGAAATATAGTACAAACTCATCTGCAAACACCTTTCAGCCTCTCTCTCAACCACCGCCCTGTTCAGCCCTTCTCCCCTCTGGAGCTTCGATACATATAATTCTAGGCCTTCCATCGATCAACGTCGTTCAGGATTCGTGTCCTGCAATGTGAAGAACGTCTCTGATTTCATCGCATCGCTTGAGGTGTACAATAGATTGGACGAATGAAATATATCTTTTATCACTGGTACCATTCATATCTAGAAGCCAACTTCTCTGAACATTTTCGCTCCGACACGAAGAATCAAGAACACGGAACCTTGTTAGAAACAAGAGCAAGAAAAACACGAGAAGAAGGATTTTGCGGGTCATTCGCTCCGTCCGGCCTCGGTACCTTGCTAACGAAAACTGCCCTGAAACTATTCCGTCTTGGGACGACTAAGCCGTACTGCGTTAACAGCTCATGGCCGCACCGCCAAAAACTTGCCCGGCGTTAGAAGATCGCCAGCCCACAGCCCGCTTCCTTGGCCCCAAACCATTGGCCATTGGTCGCCCCTGGAACACTCCGTCGCTGCTGCACCCCCAAATTTAAACGAGAAGCGCTCCGTCGCTGCAGGTCACTGCCCTCTCCGTCTTTTTGCATTCGTTCGGTGACTGGTCAGAGCAGAAAGAACTAAGCAGCCTGTTCAAACGTCCGACGGTCTTTTTCGCTCGAGTTAGGTCAGCGGGCGGCATCATCCATCAATCAGTTCATGTGAGGCTGGGCTCTTGTTCTTACCTTCAGTTCCTTACAACACTCCTTCCTTCCGAGGTTCCCTTGTTGTCAAGTTGTCTTCGACCACCACTTTCAGTTGCGACAACAAAAACACTGCAGTCAATACCACCCGGCGCCCCCGGTCTTCCATCCGTACCTACCCACCCAGGTTATTCCTATCTTAATCCATTAATCTATTGGCCTCTCCCCTCTTATTGTCACCATAGGGAAAATCGACAACCGCCAACCACTCCACCGGCACATTCAAGTCCGTGCAATTGAATCGAGCACAAGCGGCTTCATCTCAGAATTATCCAAACAGTAGCAACCATGTCTTATAATCAAAATCCCTACGGTCAGCCTAGCCCTTACAACGACGGTCCTTCGGCCGAGGGCGGTTATGGCGGCAGCTATGGCGGCAACTATGGTGGAGGTTACGACAACAACGGCTACGGTCAAGTGAGCAAGCTCCCTCAAAATTGTCCTTTGACGAACCTCTTCATCGCATCTCTCGACTCATTCAATCCGATCATATCGCGAGGTCATGGTCGCAATGCAATTAACTAACCTACTCCCTTGCAGCAGCCCGAATCACACGAGATGCAGACATATGGCCAGCAACAACGTCAACCTCACGGCCCTGATACCACGGCCACCGGCGCTCCTCTATCCCAGCAAGAATTCTTGAACAGTGTCCGCGACGTCGAAGGCCACATCCAACAGTTCCGCGCAAACCTCGACCAGATCCGCACTCTTCACCAACAGTCCCTCTCCGATACCAGCGGCCGCCCGCCCCCAGGCCTCGAGCAGCTGCAGGCCGTGACCGAGCAGCTCAAGTCACAGATCAAGACCGAAGTCGACAACCTTGTCTCTGATGCCACCCGGACCGGCGACGGTACCTTCAACACCAAGAAGCGCCAGGCCGAGCGCCTCAGGGATCTGTACAAGGATGCTATTCAGGCCTACCTTGTGGAGGAGCGCCGCCACAAGGGCCAGATTGGCGAGCAGGCCGTTCGTCAGCTGTTGATTGTCAACCCCGATGCGACGCCCCAGGAACAGGATGCTGTGCGCAACGGCGACATGCAGCAGGATCAGATCTTCCAGAGTGCTGTATGTTGTTCTCCATTGAATCTCTTACTTTTACGCTTGCTAATTCCTGCCCAATAGCTCCTACAATCTAACCGCGTCGGCGCCGCCAAGGCCGTCCTCGGCAACGTACAAGCCCGCCACCAGGAACTCCTCCGCGTCGAGCAATCGATGCAAGAGCTCGCCCAACTCTTCGAGTACCTCAACACGCTCATCGTGCAGCAGGGCGAGGTCATCGCCGACGTGGTACAAAAGACGGAGCAGGTCAACGACAACATGGACAAGGGCATCCAGGAGGTTGACAAGGGCGTCAAGCACGCACGCAACCGCCGCAAGCTCAAATGGTACTGCTTGCTGGTGTGCGTGCTCATCATCATTGCCATTGCGCTCGGTGTCGGCCTGGGCGTCTACTTCTCGAACAAGAAGAATTAGAGATTCGGTGGTGGTTCGGGAGGTTCAGACGCAGATGAGGCTGGTGGCTTGAAAGGGGCCACGCCGCCGCCGTCGCAGCAGCAGCAGCAGGCGCAACAGCAGTCACAGTCGCAGGCGCAGGTGATCCCTCCTGTGCCGGTTATTCCTCCACTAGCTCCGATACCTGTGCCGCTCCCAACGGTTGTTCCAGCGCCAGTGCCTTCAGGCGGAGGTAACCACGCTTATGCTCCTCAGGCTCAAGGACTAAGTTGGAACGCGACGGTGGCTGGAGAGAAGAGATTTTACAGTGCGGGCTGGTAATGGCCCCTACCAAACTCGACACATACACAACTAATACCCATGAGAGAAGAGAAAGGAGAAAGAAAGAGGGGAGTGGAAACGGATATATATGATATTCATACGGGTTGATATGTCAGCAAAGCATGTTTTACGCGAACGAACTGTATCAGGACAACACACCCCGGGACGTAATAATCACGAACGACGCATGGATGGATGGACGGATGGAACGGTGGATGACGGATGGACGGATTGAGGGTTTCTTTTTTTTTTTTTTTTTTTTTTTTTTTTCCATGTTTCTTCTTGAGGTGTGCTACGGCTCAGCTGCTTCTTCATGTTATACTCCCCCCCGTATGGTTTTTTGGTGCAAAACTTGTTTACATTAGTAATTACTTTTTTTCTTCTAACTCCGGATGGGCTGTGTTTTGATTTCGGTTTGCAGTTTCGACGTTGTGTATGACTGGAGCGAAAGAAAAACAATAGAACCGATCGATATAAACGCAACAAACCACACTCGCTCCTGTTGAAACCGAAACAGGGAGTTAGTTCCACGGCTCAGCTCTACGGACTCTGTAATATAAAGAAGCAGAGGCATGTGATAGCTAAGCAACATGCTCGTTAGTTAGGGTCTTTGGTACGTAGTGAGTAAACCTATACGGTTTCAAGCAATCAAGCTTAAATGGACTACTGACTGTGGAAGTATACTAACCTGAATCTTTTATCACACGTTCCTCAAGGGCGTCCGCTACCACTGGCTTTTCACTCATAGTGCACTTCTTCACTTCAATCTCACTCTCCCCGTCTTCTTTAATGCGTTCTCACAACCACTCTTTCATTTCTCCACACCTCTCTCACTACATCTTTCTTTATTTATACTCCTCTCCAAGTTACTTGACCAATCACTTCACCCAGCCCCGAAACATCCTAAACACCAAGAAAAAGTCTTCATACAAATCTCCGAAGAACAATGAGAAGGAGTTTGTCCATCCATCTAACGACCTACTAACCATACATAGATATATCTATCCTGTAACTACTCACTTACCTAACCATCACGGCAATGCTCTCTTTATGGCGAGCTCTTTGCGCTTTCATGAACTAAGTGCTCCACAGGCTTGCTGCTGCTCTTGAACAAGTTGCGAGGGTTTAAGTGAGATATATGGTAGGTAGGTGGTAAAAAGAAAGTGATGTACGTGCGTATTGGGATAAAGTCAGCGGAATGCGTGGTGGTTTTGTGCCGGGTCTTACCTGTGTAGAGCATGTATCGTTAGCAAAGTGGCTGGGATTTCGAAGAATAGCAGGTAATTGGAGAGTGGAAAAGACCGCAAAAAAAAAAAAAAAAAAAAAAGGCGTCGGGAATCGGTGGTTGGGCTTGTTTCCAGGGTTTTTTTTTTTTTTTTTTTTTTTTTTTTTTTTTTTTTTTTTTTTTTTTTTTTGGGAGGGTGAGATTGGCTATTTCTGGGGTTGCTTAGAATTTGAGTCTAACTTTTGATATGAAAGGTGAGGAGGCCCCGAGAGATCACCCCGTACGGATGTCCCACGTTGGTTCTTATCGATATGTCTCATTTTCATCTTCATTCTCGTTTGTGTTGTGTGGTTGAGGGTATTTAAGCTCGTTTACTACAAATTCAAGGTGAGTATATACAGCATACTACTTCGTTATTTAATTAAGAACATACCGAACTCCATCTGTGAGTTGGTCCATAAAAGCAGATAGAGAGAAGAGCATTGAGATCAACTCCATATTCAACCAAAATCAAATGCCAATTTGACCACCCAGAAGCGTAACATGACATAACATGATATATGATGATGATGATAATAAATTGATGATGACGAATGTGTAGTGACGAGGTCGTGTGGAATCGAGAGAGAGAGAGAGAGAGAGAGAGAGAGAGAGGGAGGGAGAAGAGAGAGAAGTATTAAAAAAAGCATTGCATCCTATCCCATCCAGGCCAACCTATGTAAAACACCATCCATCCATTCCCGCGTCCCCTTACCACCGACAGCCATCCTCAATCTCCTTACACCGTTACAGCAGTAGCAACAACCAAAAATGAACCCTTTCTAATGTACAACACTGCTTTTTACTTCGTTTCAAAACTTCATCGCTTTCTTTATTTCTCTTCCTTTTTTATGCTGCTAGAGTAATCTTGACATGCTTTTACCGCATGCCGGGACCACCGCTCATGCCCTGGAGCTTGCTGGCGAGCTCGGGGTAGTTCTCCTGTACCTGGATCTGTGTCCTCGTGGCCTCGGCGTAGGAAAGGGCGTTAACAAGTTCGCCTTCGGTGCGGGCGAGCTCGGCGGCACGCTCAAAGAACTTGAGGGCCTCGACGACCTTGCCCTGCTGGAGAAGGAGCTGGGCCATGGTGGCGACGGCGATGTCGCACTCAGGGTCGACTGGAAGCGTTGATGTTAGCACCCAACATATGATGACTTGGTTCAAAAATAGGGCTATCTTACTGATGAGGGCCTTCTCGCAGAGCTGCTCAGCTTCGGCATAATCCTGCTTCCACTGGAAGAGGGCAAGAGCCTTGTTGATGAGGGGGAGAACGTTCATGCACATGGGCTTGGTCTCCTTCTCGAGGGCGATCGCGGTATCGAACTTCTCAATGGCTTCCTGGAACTTGTTCTGGTCGAGAAGAAGCTCGCCATAGTAGTTGTAGACATCGGGAGTCTGGTCGAAGTTCTTCATGCAGCGGCGGAAGGTGGCCATGGAAGAGGCAATGGAGCCCATCTTGTACTGGGTGACACCAAGCTGGATGTGGGAGAAGATGAAGTCGGAGTCGAGATCGATGGACTTCTGGTAATCCTTGGCAGCCTCGGCGAACTCCCCCTTGATAAAGTGGAGCTGGGCGCGGTGGTAGTAGATATCAGGGTCCTCGGCGTTCTGCTCAATGGCCTTGTTGAAGTCCTCCTCGGCCTTGTCGGGGTGACCTATAAAAAGAATTAACACAGATTTAAGTTAACAGTTGAAGACAAAGACTTACCGAGCTCAAGGTTCATGCTAGCACGCTTGATGTAGCTCTGGGTCATGGCAGGGTCGAGCTCGATGGACTTGCTGAGATCGGCGAGAGCCTCCTCGTGCTTGCCCATGAGGCAGTGGAAGGTACCACGGAGGTTGTAGGCAAGAGCCTCGTGAGGGCCGAGCTCACCGAGGTCGAGGGCCTTCTTGAAGGCGGCAGAGCCCTCTTCATAACCAGTACCAGTCTTGCTCTCCAAGTGCTTCAAGCCAAGCTGCAGCTGACCAAGACCGGTCTCCTCAGAGAGCTCAACAGAGTCCTCGAGACCCTCGGGACGGGGCTTGGAGCGGAAGCTCTGGAGGTAGTTGCCGACAAAGGTGGAGCTGGGGAGCTTGGGAGGCTTTGTCTCGAGGATTTCCTTGGCCTTGTTCTCGGCGAACTTCTTGAGGAGGCGCTCGACGGCCTGGGCGCTCTGCTCGTTGCGGAAGCCGTCGATGATGCAGCTGGCAGTGAAGTCGAGGAGAGCGTCGCTGTAGCGGCTAAGCTGGTCGTAGGCATTGGCACGGCGGTTCAGGGCCTTGACGTAGTGGGGGTCGAGCTTGAGGGCGGCGGTGGTATCGGCGACAACCTGCTCCCACTGGGCGAGGGCATTGTGGCAAGCGGCGCGGTTGGAGTAGTAGACGGGGTCGGGCTTGCAGATGATGGCCTTGGAGTAAAGGTCGATGGCCTTGTTGAAGTCCTTGGAACCGTAGGCCTTGTTTCCGAGCTCCTTCAACTTGGCGGCGTACGCCTTGCGCTCGTCCTCGGATAGCCTGACGACGGATTCCTCATCGATCTCGGGCAGCTCGTCGGCGCTCTCGACGGCGGCGGCCTTGGGTTGTGTGGGAGCGGCCTCTTCTGTCTTGGAAGTAGAAGCCTTCTCGGCCTCCTCCTTTTCGGCCTGCTTCCGTTTCCTCCTTTCCTTCTTGCTGAGCTTGGGACCGGACTCCTTCTGCTCCTGGGGGAGTGGGCGCAAACGTTAGTAAACGAGAAGACCTCATGCAGCTGGGCAGGGCGCAGGACAGCAGCGGGACGCGGGACGCGGGAAGATGCGCGGGAGAAGAATGCAACGTACTGATCCCTTGCGGAGATAGTAGACAACACCGGCGGTGGTGATGACAACGGAAACACCAGCAATGGTGTAGACAACAGCCTTGTGCTCCGAGACCCAGTTGGAGACGCGGTCCCAGATGGACGAGTCGGCCGGGACAGTGACGGGCGTGGCCGCCGGGATGGGGACGGAGGGCGGCGGGATGGTGGGAGCCATGGTTATTATGTGGTGATGGGTGTAGGAGAACCTCTAGTAGATAAGGTAAACAATCAGGGTATATACTAGATCGGAGTCGGCAGAGGGACGACCGAATGGCAAGGCTAGGTAATCGAGGAGACGAAGGGACGGCGGCGGCGGCGGCAAGTTCAGAGACAGATTCCGGCAACTGCTTCAATTGCAGTAACAAGTGAAGTTCCTCTATTTTTTTGAGTGGATGATGCGGGTTCGTTCGCATGGGTCGGACCCGGACTTGGATAGGTAGCGCGGCGGGCGGCGGCCACAGCCCACGGCAACTGGACTTCAAGGTTGGGCCCGGGGTATTCCTTCACTCTACACGCAGGTTTTACCTCTTGGCACACGGCAGCGCAGTCCACAATAAGTCCACAGGTACGCGCACAGTCACTGAAAAAGGTAGCAAATGGAAACCTCAAGCTTGGTAATTGCTCGATGGCGTCGGTGGATGGGTACTGTAGATGTATGGATGTCTGTCTGCTGGGGCTCAAGCTCCGAGATCTTCGTCGTGCGAGAAAAAAAAAAGTTGTTTTTACGCGGGCGGCAGTGCGGCTGGGCAACCGGCAAACAAACTACCATACATACCTCTACGGTATTACATCTCATCAACTAAGGCCTAATGGGATGTAAATAGACAGTGTTGACCTCCAAAGTTGAGGTGGTCTGAGCTCCTTCAAGCTGCTGTTGCCAAGTCTCATCATGGCGGCCGGTACCTGAATGCCCTCTGTTTACAGCTCAGCACTGTTGGTTTACACATGGACTACTCGGAGCT